TTTTTTTTTTTTTTTTTTGCTTGACTAACACTATTTCAGCTTACACTTTATCAGTAGTGTATATTTAATTAGCACATTCGGCAGATACGTGATAAAAATATTTTTAATTTTTAGGTCGTGGTTTTGCCAGATTCAAGAAAAATTACAAGCTCAAAGGAGAACTTGGTCGTGGAGGTTTTGGTGTTGTTTACCGGGCAGTTCGGACGTCTGACGAAACCGCAGTTGCCGTCAAATTCATCAAAAGAAGACATGTACGAGAATGGGGAAAGGTTAGCAAACAATAGAAAGATTGCTTTTGGTGTACAAATTTTGTATTTTATTTGAGGACTTAGAAAGTATATAGAGGAAGATATGTTGTATCTTAGAATCACAAGTTAATAGTTTATTATTTTCAGCTCAATGATCAAAAGGTACCAATGGAAATCTGTATGCTTGCAAAATGTACAGAAATTACTGGAGTGGTACGTCTATACGACTGGTACAGCATGCCAGAAGGCTTTCTGATTGTTATGGAACGTCCATATCCGTGTATCGATATGTTCGATTTTATTCGGACACAGACCAAACTCGATGAAAATGTCAGCAAACAATTGCTGTCTGTTCATTCTTCACTGTCACTCAAATTTTATTTGCTTCTCAATGTTCAAAAAAAAAAAAAAATTTTTTTTTGAATTAGCTGAGCTGAAGAACCCCGTTCAGTAGTTTAAGAAAGGGTATAAAAGAGCAGCAAAAATTGTTTTTAGCCAAAATCTAAATCAACTTTTTCAATTGCTAATTTCTAACTGGTAGACAGTATTGAGGAGGATAAATACTGTTTTTACTGTTTTATGCTATCATCAATGTATCTATTTTCAGTTGGCCAAATTTTTGTTCCGTCAAGTTACTGAAACGGTATTGGAATGTGTACAGAAAAGGGTTATTCACCGTGACATTAAAGTAATCATCGGCTATCTTTAAAATTTACAATTTATTTTTGATTTTCCTTTTTCTGTTTTTTTTTTCTCAAGTATAATTTTTTAAGTTGAAAATTTTATCTGAAAAGTTTAAATTAAAGGAAAACTGAGAAGAAAGAAAAAGAAGAAACAAAAAAATGAATGTTTTATAAAAGTATAATTTGAGCAGAAAATTACATTAAGAAGGAACCCGTTATATAATTTTTTTTTTTGTGTTTGCTGTTTTGGGCTTACCAAACTTTTCACTTATTCAAATACCAATTATATTATACAAATTTATAGTATTACAAGAAAAAATGTTCAATTATTGTGATGAAAAATAAAGAAATGAAGAAATTGAAGAAACAAAAGTGGGAATAACTTTTTATTTTCACTAAATTTTGTTCTTTTATTTTTTTGGTCAAAAAAAGAATATTTTTAGCTGAAACTATTATAACTACTAAACACTAATTAAACAAAAAAAAAAAAAGAAGAAGTTTAATTTACTGTTATTACATTTAAAAGGTTGTTGCAGTATACGCTTTGACCAATTATTAATAATTTTGCCTTGGTTTTTTTCCCCTGTTTTTCTTTCATAGTTTAAACATTGAATGAATAACTGTTATTTAAAAAGCAAAAAAAAAAAACGAACTTTTTTAGATGATTAAACATTTAGGCATTAAAATAATCAATTATTTTTTATTAGCAAAAAAAAAAAAAAAAAAAAACATGAAACTTTATTGGGTAATTTAAAAGTGATGTTTGAAATAAGAGAATAGTAGAAACAATATAAAAGCTACTTTTAGTTAAACTATTATAGAATAAGCGATAATTTTCTAGTTTGAGTTTTGACTCTTTTTTGATAAATCTGTAAACCAGTGACTAAATGGTTGAGTCAAAGCCTGTAGACTACAGGAATTCTGATTATTGTTAACAGATTAAAGTGGTAATTAAAAATATTACTGCCCGATCGAAAGATGAGCAATAATCACAGATAACTGCAAAGAAAAAAAAAAACTTTACCAGCAGTTTACCGTTGTTTTCAGAACAAAAAAAAAGCTTAAGCATCTAATTTTAAGCATTAAACTTAACTACTAAAATCTACAATTTTTTTTTGTGTGTTACTATTTAACTGAAAATTTTATTTACAGTAATAAGGTGAAAAAGCTGTAAACATCATAGGCAAATACATCAGTCAACAAATTGATGGTTCAGAAGTGATATAAACTATAGCAATCAAAGAAAACACAAATAAATTATAGAAGTTTTGTAAAAAAAAATAATTATATGACAGAATTTGAAAAAGTATTTCTAACCCTTTCTTTCCAAAAAAGAAAACATTTGTTTAGTGGAAAAAGTTGAATGATTTGTCAAGCTAAAGGGTTTTTTATCTTTCATTTTTTTTCATCTTTTTTCTTTCCTTTTCTTTCATTTATAGCACAACAAACTTCCCAAAAGACAATGACTTTTGTGCAAATGATAAATTGTCATTGGTGAGAAACTTTGATCAAAAATTCATTGATAACTGTTATTTGTTTTTTTCTTCTTCTTCTTCTTCGCCAACTTTATTTCGTGTTTTGGTCATTTGCTTCATTTGGTTGTTCTTTTTAATTCCTGTTTTTTTTTTTTTAAGGATGAAAACATTGTAATCGATTTGGTTAATGGTCAGACTCGACTAATCGACTTTGGAGCTGCGACAGTGCTGAAGAAAACCAACTATACAGATTTTCAAGGTTTCTAAAATCTTCTTTCAAAAAAGTTACTGCATTTGCATATTGCATATAATTTCAAATTTTTAGACGGTTTTTAAGTGTGTTTTTTATTTTGCTACCTTTTAAATTTCATCCTGACTACTTAATAATAATGTAGTTTTTAAAAGTCTATAAAATGACTGTTGTCTAGTCTTTCAGGGGAACTTTTTTTTGTTTCTTGGAAAAGTAAAGTTTTTAGAAGTGTTGGCCACAAAATTTTGATTTTAAGCTCTTTTTAATGGCATAAATGTTTCTGATTTTCGAAAAATTTTATGGTTTTACAAGACGTAGTTGAAAGAAGAATATGTTGCAGCAGTTAAGCGTAGATTATGAAAAGTATACAGTGCTGTTCTAACAGGTACCAGACTCTACTGTCCACCAGAATGGTTCCTCCATTCACTGTATCTTGGAGAAGAGGCAGCAGTATGGTCTTTGGGTGTTTTACTCTATAATATGCTCAACGGACGATTACCGTTCCGTAACGAAAAAGATATTTGCACCTCACATCTTCTTGGTCCGCTTCCATTCTATGCTTCACTCACTGGAGGTTACTTTTTGATATTCTCATTTTCTTTTGAGAAGATTCAGAGCACCCAAATTTTGGTAGAAATTCAAATTCGATATAAAACTTTTCTGGATGTTTAGGAGGATGTTCACTGACCATCGCAATGAATAATAAACAGGGCTTTTTTTCTAACTCTTTTGCTTATTACAGAAGCTAAAGATCTGATTAAAAAATGCCTACAATTTGACCCTTTTGTGCGTATCTCGCTTAAAGATATTGCGGAACATACATGGGTCAAGGCTCCAACTGCCGACTGGTTTACTCTATCTGCAAGCGCTTCCGTAGTTTCGCCTCCAGATTCTGATGGGGACAATGCAGAAGTTGAAGTTGTTGAAGGAACTAAGCCAACTGATCTAAGGTAAGTCGATCACTACAGTTTTTTGATTAATCTAGCTTGTCGTTGATTAATATAAAAAACTTGTATTCTAAAGACAACACAGGAAATGCTAGAAAATCTTCTTTTTTTTTCAGTGCCTCAGAACACTTTACCGGCACTGAGTCCGGAGTTGGAAGTGCATCAGATCTAACATCTGAAATACCGTCGTCATCATCGACAAATTTCCAGAGTGTAGCAGATTGTGAAAATTTAACAACAAGTCATGACGACAATGATACGGGTCGAAAACGAATGGCTAAAACGTCGGTGATAAAGCCACCAGCTTTATCACCAAAAAATCTTACAGTTTCACGCTTGAGACAAAAAGATTTATGTAGACGGCCAGATAGTAAAAATCACTCAGTGAATCATGAAGCATTTATGAAATGTTGGACACAAAAAAATACACATTGTGCAGCTAAGATTAGCAGAAAAAGTACATTGGATTCTGGACAACAGTCATTGTTAATATTATCATCATCTCGACGATCGGCAAGAGTTAACTGCTAACTGCAATATCAGTAGTTAGCATTTAATTGTAAAGTATAACTTTTTTCTCTTTGCCAGAGATATATTAACTGCTAAAAAAGAAAATTTACACCTGTACAGTATTAGTTGTAATTAATCTTTGAATAGTTCAAAACTGTTCATACCGTTACAGCCGGTTGTATGTAAAAATAAAGTAGATGCTGTAAATTTAAAGCTAACAGTATATGATATGCTTTTGCTGTTGTTGTTGTTGTAAAATAACAAGTTTTTATATGAAATATTATACCGTAATGCTGCATTGCTTTGAACGAAAATAAAGAATTTTATTTGAATTGTTGCTTCTATTTTCCTGCATTTTTTTTTTTCAAATCTCAGTTATACTGCAGAAAAAAAAAAGAAAGAAAAAAGTGAGAAACTTGTTCTAAACAATCAAAAAAAAACTAGCTTCTCTTGTTCAAAATTTTATGGTTTCTGC